TTGAAATTTCTAGATCACTTTATGAGGAAAGTGGGCTTGGAAAATCCTATAATCACGAGTCATGCTGAAGTCAGAGGGGACAAAGGAAACAAAGTGTAACCTATGTTATGGGTATGCGGGAACGGATGGCTAAAAAGCGGCGTATAGTAATGAGACAAAAAAATTCTTATCGCTACAAATGAGTTCAAGCGAACTGATGACAGAGATGAGACAAAGAAAAATGGTAAAAGAATCAGACTTTGCTTTGAGTTGCAAAAGGCAGGAAGTTGTGGAGAGCTATGATCGTTCGCGTCCTTAAGGGGCACAGCACATAAAAGAGGAAAAAGAGAATGACAGCGTAACTGACCAACCTAGGGTATTCTTTCGTTTATATTAAAGTAGCAGGTTTCACCTGCTCGCTATCGCTCCACAAAGTAAGATATATACTACTTGAAATCTTTGAAACAAGATTTTTAAATGAACATTTCATTCATAAATTGGCTTGTTATAGTAAAGGAAAGTTTTACAAATAGATGCCAACTTGTTGAAGGCCAAGTAAAATGCGAATTTCAAACACTTTTCTGCAATATATAAGATGATATTCCTAAACAGAACTGTCTTCGATATGAGAATCCAAATAATCCTCCAATAAAAGAACAGTGATAAAGGACAGTTAATTAATGAAAGCGTGATATTGCCTAAAAGTAAAAAATATATAATACAAATATTGAGCTTTTAGTGTGTAAATTACTATAAAGTTAAGCTGGGACTCTTTTATCTCAGAATTCGTAGGTGAATTGAGCTCCAATTTCGCAATTATTCATATAGATTCCATAATATAGGTTTTACTTAATTAGCTATTATGTTTCTCTAACTCTTCAAATGTTGAATGTATAACTAATTCTAATTTCTATTTTCTCATCTTTACACTATATTAATTTTATCGTATAAATTATCCCCTATTCTGTCACCCATGAAATAAAAATAATTGTTTGGATGGAAACTATGGATCTACGTACATGAAATCGTCTTTAAATTAAATGGTAGCAGAAGAATTATCGTTGAACTTTTAAAAGGTAAGCTTAAACATTCTTTCAATACTTAAATGCAGCGATTTTGAGTTCTTCTGTAATTTATTGATGCCTACCACATCTACTTCTACCCTAGCTATCGTGATGATGGCCAAAGCAAGATTCCTCCACAGGTGTTAGTTTAAATGCCGCCCGCTAGGGTTAATTTTAAGCTAGCTTAAAATTTAACTAGCTGCAATTTTGGATAAAAAAAAAGAAAATAAGAGTTATTCCCCTAGGACCATGAAAGCAACGATAATGGCTAGTATATATTAGTGTATATTTTTAACCTCGCATATTCTGGCAACCCTGAAGCTAAGCTCAACGAAAATCGTTGCCTGCTGCTAACATTTCAAGGGCTTTTGAATAAGCTTTGAACCATTGAAATCGGATCAGTGGGAGCGGAGGTGTTGCTTGGGGACACACACGCACAAACACATGCACTTTACTTTATATATAAGATACCAGGATACTTTCCGGATATTTTTATATTCTTTACGTAGTGTTGTTTTTTTTGTTTTGTTTTTTTTTTTACTATTCTTTGACCAATATAAGATCCAAGACCCACTCAAGGTAGAGATTTACTAAATGAAGTGGTTGTAATTTGAGGTTAAGATTTTAACTCTCAAAAAGGCACCCTCTCCGGAGTCGATTCCATAATGCAACATTTCTTGAGAAGAAACTGGCTCTGTGGATCCTCACCAATGGGATAGAAGGATAGTTGATTCCGTCTACGTCACATGGCATGTCCTAACTATGAAGGCCTGGACCGGTGGAAACAAAGATTGTAGTTCATCCAGACATCTGCTATTAAAATAGCGGTAGAAACGTCTCGTGCGTGTGGATAGGGCCGTAACGTAGAAAACGATTCCTATTCACAAGGCCGCCTTGGAAAGGCTTTTGAACTCTCTTGAGACTGGTAAGTCAGAATTGGGCAGCTTCGACCCAGATTCTGGTGTCGTCTACGATTTGATCGATCAAGTTCCTTGCTGGTTTGCCTCCTGATCTTTTCTCATAATCTGGATTCTTGTAAACTTATTGCTTACTTCTCTAGAAATGGCCACTAAGCTGCACTGTACCCGTAATCTTCCGTGGATTCTTATAAAGTTCTTCACTGAACCGAAAGGAACACGAATTCTTTACATAGAATAGAAATAACAAATTTTAGACACTAACGCATGATTTTATTATATTTTATTGACAGAAGTTAAAAGTCCGAACGTTTATTTGTATTGTAACTTTATCGTTGCAAAACATATGGGAAAATGAAATAAATCAATAAATATGAATAGATCTTTTCATGATGCCAGTAATAAAGGAACCGGAAACTTTATAACCCCACTTGGCTTCGTCAAGCGCCACTAAGTAGCGCTGTTTAACTCTATAAAACAAACATTTCTTTCCACTTTCTCATTCTCCTTCATGTTCCAAGATGTAGTAGAGCGTGGAAAAAGACGTCCCCGTTGGTGTAAGTTCGTTTCCCTTGTCCACCGACGACTGAACACTTTTCCATTTTCCAACGCATGGCGTTCTCACGTGTCTTCCAAAACCTGCACCTATGCAGTATATTAACCTCTTCTTTGAACATGACCAATTTTTCCACATGTCTAGGTAGGTATTTATTCAATTGTACCTTGGGTAAAGAAGAATAGCAGAATACATCCTTCTCTGGGTCTGATCAAGGCCAATGCCCATTGCTTCCACCGGGAAAAGCTTCCGCCTTGGTTGCTGGCATCAGTTTAGAAACACCTCTTCTCAGTGATGTCGAGTCATCACAACCGTTTATATACTGCTATACTATAATTCACTCCTATATATCGATATATTGATTTGCAATATATTTTTTATTTGTAATTTTTTTTTTGAAGATAATAATGAATTAGTCACACAAATCTTAATAATTAACCCATAGCTGGGGAGAGAAGAAGTGGATTTACACCTTTCCCAATGGTGTTTACGCGTAAATGAATATAACGAACCCAATTTGAATTGGAATTCAGCTCTCCGATTAAGATTATTCCGAAGCGGTCACCCATTTAGATACTGACCAGGCTCGACTGTGCTTAACTTCGGCGATCGTATATATGCTGATTTAGATTGCAGGCAATTGTAATTCTCCGTCTTTACTGTCTATCGGCTGAACTCCTCACTAGTGAGAAGCTCGGAATCACAACACACAGAGTTGCCTGCATAGTTCGGTCACAGAGGCAATGGCCTAAAGGACTCTCTCTGTGTGTGTGTGTGTGTGTGTGTGTGTGTGTGTGTGTGTGTGTGTGTGTGAGAGAGAGAGAGAGAGAGAGAGAGAGAGAGAGTCAGTGAGTGATATTTTTACATCTTTACTGCTGGACGTTGGAGTAAACGCAACGCATTGCAAAATGCTGTCATACATACGCATGCGTGCTCTCGCCTGTTGATAGTTTTTTTTTTTTTTAGTTTGCATGTTATCATTGTTTTTTTTAACTTGATATAATTTTTTAAAAATTAATTTTTAAAAGAACTCTTACATTTTCAGACTGATTCAATCACCATAATTTATTTTTTTCTTTTACAATTACAAATGGCTGGCAGCTCTTTTGTTAAAAAAAAAAATTACCTACATTAAGAAGAAAGCAGAAAAGTAATCACGGTCCGTGTGTATATGTTTTTTTAATTTTTGAATCAGCAGACGCACTCAGACATTGATCTATCCAACAAATGTAATTATCTCCGTACTTTTTGCTAGTAAACTTCTGTGGCTATAACCCCGACAAGTTGCACTGAGATTTTGGTTAAAAATTCTTTTTATCAAGTCAATGTCAGATAGTTTTTCTTTATTGCGTCCAAAATACATTCTTTATTTTTACAATATTTATCTTTCTTTTTGTTAAAAAATATACGAATTTACTTGGAATCATTTCAATTGATCAACCGACGAAGGTCGTAAATATTCATACTGATCCACACATATTTGTACACATTACATGATATCACTTTTTATTTGTCAGTCCGACAACGCTAACCGCTGAAGGATCCGTAAAGCAAAGAACCTATCAACTGAGACGTATATTAAAAATATTGCTATGGCCCTTTAAGCGATCGTAGCTCTCCACAGCCTCCTGTACATTATTATCCATTATTTACCACTGTTCTTTGGAAAATAATAGTATGATTCCCCAGTAACTTCTCCACGGTTTTGAATTCAGAATACGTTTTTCTACTAAACTGGCTGCCACCCAAGGCTAGAGTATCACGACTGACCTTCTATTTAACCCATCGGTTTGAAGAGAAGGCCGTTGCCTTCTTCACCTATTTTTCATTTCAAAATTAACCTGCCACCAAAGAATAAAGAGTCCAGTTGACCCTGCTATTTAATCCATAGCTCGAGAAAGAAAAGATTGATTCATGCCTTTTTTAAGAGCAACAGTGCGAAATTTAACACAGCAGACTAGACTGGTATTTGAACCTGATACTCCGGTTCCATTTTTGCGTCTAAAAATGTTACGCTATCCATTAACCCGGGCGATAGATATTGAAAAAAACATTAATTTTTAATCTACTTCTGTCTTCAGAAAGTGCAAGGACAAGTAGTAGCTTATTTTTTTCGCAGTCACAGCTGGATCGTCCACATGTCGAAGTCAGCCAGTGACATCCTGCGAGGCACGGATCTGGACGTGGCGCCGGGGAGGCTATTCATGCAACTGTTTGGTTTGGTTGATTAGTTGGATAGGGCTTATCAACTAGGTTATTTAAAGACAGAAAATATTTTTAGGTTCTAAGAATTTTTCTTTAATGGTTTTCTTATACAAGTCATACTAATTAACCCATAGCTCGGGGAGAAAATATGAATTCATATCTTTCCCAAGTATATTTGCGCGTAAGTGAATATAACGAACCCAACGGTACTTGGAACTCGGCTCGACGATTAACAATTCACAGTCATTATCCATTACTCATCCGAACGTCCAAGCTTAGAGCACCTGGTATTCCCAAGAGGTCACTCATCTAGGTACTGACCAGGCTCGACGTTGTTTAACTTCGATGATTGTACGGGGACAAGGATGCGATGTAGATGTCGAACCAAAACAATGTGAAGGTAATATTTAGTATAACTAATGGAATATAAAAGAAATATTAGATAAATATTTTAAAAAATACATTAGTAATTCTGAAGCCACGATGTTGCTTACCTTAACACAGGGTTGTCGAATTTTTTTTCGTAAAGGTTCAAATTAGAAATTTAGGTATATTCACCGGGTCACAAAAGTACTTTATATAAATATGCTTTTAAAAAGTTCAAAGGGTTGTGAATATAAAATTTTAATGACAAATATAATTGCAAAAAATACTGTATTATTGACAGTAAAAAAAAAAAATAAAGAAATTATATAGAGACAAAATAAATTCAATATAATTTTTGACATTGATTTCCTTTTATAATATTGTCTAAATCTGCTTTTATGGTACTCGTCTTTATACTAAAATATCAGTTAAATGGGAATCACTCAACCTGTTTCTTTCAGCTGTTTTAATGTTTTTCAGGCACGTAAAGAATTATTCACAGAATCTACTACCCCATATGCAGACCATTTTTCTAGATAAGTTATATAATTTTTATTTAGCTCTGGCTCTTGCCCTGTTATGATGTTAATTTGGGGTTAATAAAGACAAACGCCAAATAACATGTAACAATAAAATGGGGTTTATTCGGTTGGTAAGTTGGTACAGAAATCGCCTGAGTAGTCTATAACTAACACAGCCCAGAACTTCTCCGACACTCTGTCTTTTGACATGCCACTATTTAACGTCCTTGTTTGTAGACGAGTTCATCTTCAAGAGATGGTGGTAGGTTCCTACACAACATGCACCAGCCGGTGTTTCTCAGGAAGGACTTTGCCCCTGTAGGGAGACCACACTTGTTTTCCCTTGGGTTGAGCTATGGGAGTTTTGGCCCCTTTAGAGAGTAGAACTCTTCTGTTTTTTGTTTGGTTTTTTTTGTTTTTTTTTTTTTGTCTTTGCTTCCGTTTTTGAAGGAATGGCCTCTTTACCTTCCTGACCACCAGGGTGTCCACACACGTGGAAACTGGTCAACATGTGCACGGCCTAGCGAAAGAAAAAAGTAACTTCCATTCACTTATCTGCGGACTATCAAAGGCCATATAGCTGGTATGTTATTTTTTCTCATTCTGTAAACCTCCTCGTTCCTTTGGGACAATATGGATAACCATTTGTTTTGGGACATATGTGAATCTTTTTAATATATGTACGTAAGTTGTTTGCCTTATTAAATGTTTTGTTTGTTACGCCCGCGTATTTCGTCTTTCTATATTCGTATTCAGTGTTAGTGTATCAATGGCTACACTAATGCTACTATTAGTATCGGTGTGCTACTGGAAGACTACAACACGTTATACTTCCTAACACAAAATAGTCGGTAAACTCTGTGTGGCAGATATTACTATACTAATACCCACTTCTCCTTTTAGTGCAATGCAGAAGTGAACCTACTAGTACAATCTGAGAATAATTTTCTTGACATACGTTAATAAAGTAAATGAAAATATACCTAAAGATTTTTGGGTGCAGTCGGCCTCACGAAAATGTTAAGCGGGCCGCGGGTCTGACCTACCTTAACCTATCAACTTTTTTGATGTTGGCAGTTGCATACAGTGGGTCAAGAAAGTGTTAATTCTAAACTTTTGTTACATTCAACTCAACTTCCAATATATTTTACTTGATGCACTGTATTCGCAGACAGAAGTAGATACAAATTGATTTTTAACCACACTTGTTGTCACTGACTTAATTCCAATTAGAGTTTGTTTTTCCAAATCCAATCCGTTTCGACTCGACAAAACAAAAATCTATCTCCACACAAGTTCCCAACAACTTCGTCGTAACAATGCGTAGCTGATCTAACAATTAACAAATGGCACTAACGTAACCAAAACATTCACGACAGGTACGTTCCTGCTAAATCCTTTAAACTAAGACTTTATCTTTGTCTTGTTCTACAATTTTTAGAATATTTTTCCTTTATTTTAAGGTTATTTTTCTTTCTCGTCTTTTATTTCCACCTTCAGTTTTTCTATAGCTTTTGGTTCTTATTTTTTAGTTTTTCGTTTTTCTTTTAAATTTAGGGTGGCGAAGTTTTCATTATGTATTCAGCCAGGAAATCATATGTGCGCGTGCGTGTGACTCTTAAAGTCTGTGTTTACAAAATAAGCCAACTTTGCCAAATTCTTGGCTGATAAGTTTACAGCTAAAACGTAGACAAATGATTAAATTGTCGGATCTTTTGTAACAAAATGAGGCCTGCGTCGAACGGAACAAATTAAGTTTCAGCTTCCCGATGTCCACTTCATGAAAATCGAAAAAGTAAATAAAACACATTTCTCTATACAAAAATTCGACTTCTTTGTTTTTCATAACTTTGATCCTTTTTTTCTTTCTTTCTTTCTTTCTTTTATTTTCTCTCTCTCTCTCTCTGATATTTTGTTCGCTTTTTATACATTATTTTCTTCTTTTTTCCACTTTCTTTCATCCAACCATTTTACATTTTACCGTTTTTCTCTTTATTTTTGCATGTTTTCTGTCTTTCTTTCTTACTATTATCGATTTCCGTCTGTAGATCGAATTTCTTTCTGTCTTTCTTTCTGTTTCTTTCTTTTTGCTCTTCTACTTTATACACTCATTTTTTTTTCTCTGTCGTTTTATAGCCTGACAGTTTTAGGCGAAAAAAAATGGAACTGTCGTACCAAGCTCAAATACCAATGTCGTCTGCTGCGTTAACTTCCGCCTTATCGGTCTTGGAAAAAGCATGAATCCATCTTTTCTCTCTCTAGCTATGCATTAAATAGCAGGATCAATTGGTCTCTTTATTCTTTGGTGGAAGGAGAAGGTTAACTCTGAATTAAAATTTGTGCAGACGGCAACGATTTCTGTTTTTCATTTACTTTCTTTCGTCTATCTGTATTGTTTTCTTTTTTGTTTGTTTTTTTTTTTTGCCTTTTTCATTTTTCTGTCTTGTTCATGTAATTTTACAAGAATTCGCCTTTCTTTCTCCTGTTTTTCCTTTGCTTTCTTTCGTTTCACTTTTGTTATTCCTTCTTTTTTTTCTTCTTTTACATCGAGAGCGCCGAAATCTGTGGGTTTTTCCAGGAATATTTTCCTGAAAATAGGCACGAGAAAAGTAGGGTTTTACTTTTCTCTGATTGGTCAAATATTTCACAAGGTGATGTTACTTTTTAATCAATAGACATTTTGATTTAAATTTGTATGCTGTATTATGTTTTTTTTTTTTTTACATGTTTGTAATATTGTCTGTTTTAATGCATGGTGTGTATATAGGTATGTAATTGTGTTGGAAACAGGGTTTATTCCCTATAGAGACATGTTTATCGTGTGGATTTTTAAGCTATGAATAATTTTAATAATTTTTTTTCCTTTTGTTTTATTTCTAAATGCCAACTGCGACAGATTTTTTTTTATGGTAACGAGATCGATTCTTACTGGTTTTTCCAAAAAGTGAAACCACCTTATGGACAGTAAAGCAATTCTCTTTTTTATTCTAAAAGAATCTTTTACCATTTTTCTTGAAAGTGATTCTTTCGATATCCAAATTCTAATTGAACATTAACGTCTCTTTGTGCTGAGTTGCTGCCTGCATAAAATTTTCTTTAAAAACGATTTATGTTACGTGCATAATTGTCTATGGATGTGATTGTATATATCTCATGAATTTTGTGCATGTATTTGTTTGGTTTCGTTTGGTTTACGCCATATCAACATCAATGGGTTATTTAATGCCGACAACTTTTTTTATTGTTGGTAATATTTTCTTTAAAAATAAACTATAGTTAGTAATATCTTTTTTTTTATAAAAAATATATTGCTGGTAATATTTTTTTTTACAAAGTGTTTCTGGTATGCATTAAAACCTATTTTTACACTTTCATAGTGTTTTGATCCTAGTTTGGGGGTTAACTATTTGCCTATACCTGGGACCCTAACAGGTGCTACCACCCCGGGTCAGGGGGAACCAGGGAACATTAGCAATTAAGAGGTGGTTCCATGCTCCTCAAAACCTCCTGATCAGAGGCCTTGCTGTGGGATGTAGTTTATCGTCTTACCCAGGACGCCTGTGCATGTATTGATGCTTGAGTTTGTGTGTATGTGTGATAGCGAGAGAGGGTATTTTTTTTAATCATTTCACCCCAAGCAGGGTGATAATGCACAAGTGGCTGTTGGGACTGCAAGGGTACGAGAAGACCTCAATGAGGAGAATGGTTCATATAAGCACAGAATTAAGGAAGACAGAAGATGGCGATTGATGTTACCTTTGAATTTTTTAATATCGTAGACGGCAGGGAAACAAGAAACCCGAAGAGAGATCCACAGGCTAGAAGTGCGAGAAAAGAAACTATTATAATTAAACTTACTGTTACATCTAGCTAATTCAATAGTAAAACGATGAGATTTATTGTGGTGTACGAGTGTCGAAGTTAGGCGAACCCCGCAAACATTAAGAGGGAATAAGTGACATAAGCCAAAGCAAGAATAACGAGAAAAGGAGTTTAGATAGAATATGCCAAAATTCATTATTGGCAACAAAAAAGGAAAATACAATCGAAGAATCTGGATGTTTCAACTACCCTGGGTGGTCGTGCTGGTAGCTGGCTGTTGGTCTTAGATGCGTCAGCTTGATTGGTGCCGAAAGTTGATATAATTAACTACCAGTAGTTATGATCAAAATGTAAATGCTATAAACATATATATATATATATATATATATATATATATATATATATGGCATAAATAAATATATACTTAATAGATACATTAATCAAAATAACAAAACCAATACTTTTTTCACAGCTACTATCTCACGCACACGCTAATGTATCGTACTTTATATGCTGTACACTCGTCTTTGTTTACAGTTGAAAGACCAGCCACAGCCACTTTGAGAACCAAAAATTTTGAAATACATTGCTGACGATTTGAAAGTTTTTTCCTCCATAACATTTTTTTTTGTCTGCAGATTTTATCCGTTGCATC